CAGAGTCGCGGAATGAATTAAGTTCGTGACCCGAGGTACCACTGTATTAATATAAGAGGTACTCCTTTTTAACCACTTACGGATAATGGTTAAATTTGCCAGAACCTAATGTCTCAGACAGGCCATTGAATCTCAAACTGGTGGTCTCATACTAGTTGATGGGATGGATTTTTGCAGGAGCAACTCACACATGGCTTTCCTGCTTATAAGCCGTCTGTGCTTTTTCAGTGAAATAAGCATGTATCTTATTCTGACTTGCATTTTAGGACTCTAAGTAATTGATGATGCCAACAAGTAATTTATGGAGCAATAACTAGTTCCTGTTAAGTCTTGCAAATCATTTGTCCAGCAGTGTATTTAATGTCAGATTTACTCAGCAGCTAATATGATAAATGAACGTCTAGCTCTTGGAGAGGATTCACAGTGCTTGTAGCATTTTGAATGATTTAGTTAAAACAAGAACTGCTTAGCTTCCAAACATATGTGACGTCTCTGTAACTGAAATGAATCCATAAAACAAAGGCAGTTACTATTTGCAATATAAATGATTGAGTTACCTCAATGATGGCAAGGGAGATAAAATTCCTTGAGCACTGAAAAGGATGTGACAGAGAAGATTTTTTAAAACTTCAGGTATAATTTGCTAGTCTAGAAGTTGGACTTTTGTAAGCACGAGAGAGAGTGTAGAATGATGGCTCTTAAGTCTCAGAGCAGCAGGGGTCAGGCCTGTGAAATGTTGTCATTTGTTCCCAGTAGTAACACACTGGTCTGCCTGCATATCCTCTCCAAATTAATCAAGTACTAAGTATACATTCAAATATAAGGAAAGCTATGCCTGTGGATCTTAGTAACTAGCTTCCTTCACTGCACTAAGTGGTACTTATGTTTTGACTTAGCATTCTTGTTTGTAAATCATGGTTTATGGTCTCATGTGTCAACTCAATCTGTTGTGAATTATTCAATAAATTATAGTTAAACAAACCATGGCTTAGCACAGACTATGAACCAGGTCAAAAAGGTTGGCGGAACCAAATTTTTATGTTTTTATTTTTGTTTGTGTTAAGAACTGTATTTGAGTTTTTTTTTAAAAAAAAATCCATAATGATATACTAAACTTTATACTGTCTTGCTGTTCTCTGGACTCTTAAACCACAAATCACAGAACCTTGTGCAAGGAGATCTAAATATCAGTTTTTAAGACTCAGGGGAGTTATGAAGTCCTTGAAGTAGTCCATACATTTGCTGATAAATCAAAATATGTCTTCTGCAGCAATTCCATTATAATGATGATTTACATTATATTCCACTGTGCCTCTGAGAAGCTCCCAATAGCTTAGATGTGATTTCCAAGTAGTTGCCCTTACTGGCATTGGCAAGGCTGAGATCTTCAATAATTCATAAATATATCACCATTGTATGCCCTCTGGTTCTGAATACAGTGGAAGGAGCAATCTCACTAATGCAAGAAATGCACATATTTGTAGAATATGTAAAGACTCATTTATATTTATTTATAGTGTTATATCAATAATAAGAATGATTCATAAGGTAGAGTGGAGATGTGAGATACTAGAGATGTGAAACCTGGTTTTTTCCTGTTTTAGTTTTGAGAAAGAAATGGAATTTGGAGAGGAAAATTGAAATATACACAGTTCTTATTGTTTAGCATACTTTTTACTGTTTATAAAAGAGTGTAATTTGATTTGCTCGAAATTAGGTTGTATATAACATTGAAAAGCATAGTTTATTTTGGTAATTTTACATTTGATTGAAATTATTGTAAAATGATATAATGTTCATATAAATTTATAATTTCAAATCAAATCAAATCTTTATTATGGTCATAGACCAGCTAAATAGATGTACAAGTTGCTGAACTTTTAAGGAAGTAGCATCTCTTCATTTTTCTCTGTGTAGGAAAATGGAAAGACAAAAGATTAATTCTGAAAAAATATGAAACCATCAAATTATAGTAAAAGTTAGGCATTCTGGATTTTGTCTTCCCTTATACACTGCACTAAAGTTCAGTATACACAAGTTGCCACATGAAATGTTATCTAATTATTTTCAGAATCTGAAATATTATCTGTCAGCAGATTCTGCTTCTTAAGGCAAACCTTCTAGAACCTTCCACATATTTATTTCTTAATATCATATTTGTATTTTTAAACAAGAATCATCTTATTTTACCACTTAATCGCTTTTATGTGTTGGTCAAAAAGAACACATTAGGAAACATACCACATCCATTCCCTCCCCGCCCCCCCAATATTTACATTTTGGGGAAAAAGCAGAACTCTCTCTCAAATGGCCTTGGATTAAAGAGAAAAAAGACAGACTTTTTCTGGATTCTTCAGGATTTTTTTTTTATTATTGGTTTTCACTTCTGTATGTTCAGTGGATGATATGGTCCCCAAAGAATAAACAGTTGTTCATTCCTGCCTTCGAAATATCCATTTGTAACTTCATTCCCAGTGTAACTAAACTGAAACTAGAACACAGCTTCTTTGCATAATACTCCTATGATTGAAGTCCAGTAAGTAACAGAGTAATCAACTGATCTGTCACCACTGATGATTCAGCAGTATAGAGTATACCGACAGTGCTGTAAAAGTGAATCTAGTTTGGTAAGAATGTAAAAGCTAAATGACATAATATATGAATAGGCTGTCCCCAGTTTATCTGTGCACTTGGGGTACTCCAGTTTTTATCAAAGAAAGAATGATGGTTTCAGAAAATCAGAGACCAGTCAGTCTGATGTCAGTTCTGAACAAAATTCTAGAATGGACTATTAAGCAGCTGACTTGATTGCAGCTAGAAAATGATTAACTGATTGCTAGAATCCATTATGGATTTGGTGAGGATGTATTATGCCAGACCAGCTTTATCTCTTTTTACAGTCACTGGTCTGGGAGATAATACATGCACCAGTGTACATTGATTTCCACAAAGCATTCAATGAAATTTCCAAGAGATCTTTGTTGATAAGATGGTAAAATGTGGTTGGGATATTTCTACTGTTATATGGAACAAAAGCAATCATCCCCAATTTGTATTCAGTAGAAGTTCTATGTCAAGTGGAGACTATGCTTTAGACCCAGAAATAAATTACCTGGGCAACAATGGTGTAGAGCTATTGCTTAATTTAATTGCTAAATTTACAGATAACAAAAAGAAGCAGTAGTCAACAGTACAGAAGACAGAATAGGCAGCTTGAGTATCCTTATTAGATGGAAAAATGAATATAACAATTATTGTTAACTGTTAAACAATTTAAACTATTGTTTAAAGCATAATGACAAGCCAAAATAATAGAGGGAAATTCAACAGATACATGGAAAAACTTACTTTTTAGTACTCCCTCCTTAAATATGACTATAAGATAAATAGACAATATGGAAAGGGAAATATTGGTTTGGAACCAGTATAAATGGAAAGCCATTTCATCATGATATTAAGGATAATGTAGCAACATCCTACATGCATATCCTGCATTGAGCAGGAAGTTTAACTAGTTCTCCAAAGTTCTTTCAATTGCTATGATTCTATGAGGATATCTTGATGTTTCATTCATTTCTAATTCTCTTTCTCAGGTCCAACTGATCTCAGTATGAAGAGGCAGCTAGCAAGCACTTCGGGGTCTTCTAGCAATACTAGCTCTAGACCTCAGCTGAGTCCAACTGAAATTAATGCAGTACGGCAATTGGTTGCAGGATATAGAGAATCAGCAGCATTTTTATTGCGTTCTGCAGATGAACTGGAAAACCTTATTTTGCAGCAGAACTGAGACACATTATTATCTTGCTGATCTAGTTTTATCATAGAATTTCCACTAATGACATTTTGATATTTCAGAGCAGATCTTTCATGTGCTGAGGTCTTGTTGACAGGTTAATTTGCATTATGCCACACTGTTCTCAGTGTACTTGGTGTGTTATGGTTCTCCAAGTGAACTTGGATCTCTGACATTTTTAAGATCCTTTATAATACCAGTTCGGTTTGTTTTCATGTGTCAGCATCAATAGCAAAAAAGTGGTTAGAAGTGTTAACCCATTCTAACATGGACAGAAACAACAGATATATACTGGGGTTTCAAATTTGATTCAGAATCCAAGTGCAATATTAGTGGAATGTGCTACTGACTCAGTGGACTCAAAGCTGCATTATATGGCAAAATGTTGCCAAATGCCCTGATATTAACAGGATGTAATTGCAATGAAAAGGATCTTGTATTTTAAATAAAATGTAATTTTTATAGGAAATAAAACAAGACAAAAATGTTGGTTCACATTCTAAATTGATCATTTTTACTTTGGTAAATTTTTCACTGATTTTTCAAATGAAGCTTTGAGGAGCTGTTGTTAAGTCCTCCTCAATGAAATTTTAATCCCCTCTCCAATTCACCTCTGTCCTCAAGGCGTGTTTTTCATGCTGAGCAGCCCGTTCCCTGGTAGTTTCCTATACAAATATCTCTGGACTGACTTCTGAAGGAAGCAGACTTTCCTGAACTCATACCATTTTTGCTTCTGTTTCATAATGAGTTGCAACTTTATTAGTAATTGATGAAGATGTGAGAGATATTTTTAAAAGACATATCATTAATTTTGTTTTTAAAGGGATTTCCTACAAGCCAGCTCATTTAACTCCACGATTGCTGCTGCTGTCTTGTACAAATCCTTCTAGTAGTGAATGGATGTAGATGACTGAATGTGAAGAGGTTGCAAGTGACAATCGGAATATTTGCACTCTTGTGTATATTTCTTTTCTTTCTTTCTAAATGAATATGTAACTGAAAAGGGCCATTGACACTTCTGATGTGATTTTATAGTGCTTATGCTAAACTAAAAACTGTACAAAAATGGTAAAGGATGCAGCTGCCATTTAAACAAAATGTCCTTCCCTTGAATTTACCCCTCCCCCTCCCCCACCCCATCCCCATTTCTTACTTTAGGATGTCAAATACACATCAGTGGTGTTTGCTGTGTGCTAAGGAAAGCTTATTTTTATGTATTTAGAGAGAAGTATTTTACTTCGGGCTTATGTAATATCTGTTCTGTTGATTAGCTTTTGTTAAATAACAAGTTCCTTGTGCATTCCTAAATTTGCCTTATTTTTGTGTACAATTTTTTATGTACTTTGGTTTTTCGACAATGAGTTTAATGCATCAGTGATATTTTCTATCTACTTGTTACATATAGTTTTTCAAGTAATGACTGTGATTGTGACAAAGTAATGTGCACTTTCTTCTTGTAACTGGACATTGCTATGCTTTTTCCCTTTAGTGTTTCTAGAATTACTGTTGCATACAGTTATGTTTTAAAAAGACAACTTTTGTGATACTGTTGGTGAATATCAGTGTGAAAAAGCCTATTGAAATGAGTGTTTTGGAGATACCTAAGTACACAAACTGTTAAGTTGTAGATTCAATTGTTCACAAATTTAAATGAAATTTTAAAAAAATGAGGGCTGGGAGAACAATCTTTGGTTTTGTTTGGGTAAATAAACATCTGTGTTTCAATACATGCTTGTGAAACAGTGTTTTGACATAAAATTTTGTCTTCTCTCTCAGGGCAATTTAGATCCAAAATATAAAAAATAAAATATTCATCTGAACATAAAAATGGTTTAAATAGTCAAATAGAAGCATGCTTTGCATAAATCTTGCTGGCATCATTGCCTAGTTTTCAGTGAAATTGCCGCTGTTTAATTTGCCTATGGAACTTTTTTTAAAAATTAGTATATCTCACAAATAGGTGGCGAAGATTTGTAGGATCCCAAGGAGAGGTCCTAATCTCTTTGCAGTGCTGCAGCGCAAACTGAGTCTAGTGCTGGGACTGAAACCTTGGAAACTCCACTAGCAATTCAAACTTGGTAAGGAACTCATCATTATTTAAAAAGAAAAAAGAAAAATATAATATTTATAAATTATAAGGAAAGAGAGGAAAATTAAGATGACTTATGTGTTTTGACAAGTTAAATTATGACATTGCATTAAAGATTGTGGACACTATCCAATCCTTTGGACATGTCAAAAGACAGAAGTAGAAGATTGGCTAAAGATATACCTCTACTGTATGTGACTGTGCCGTATTGTGCTAAAATAATGGGTGTCCATTCATTATAAACCAACATGTTTAGATCTTATCTACATGCATCTGGCCACATTCTGGCTGTGCTTAGATCTTTGTCACAAAAGGAGTGATACCAAGCACAATGGCTTGCAGAGGAGTAGGCAACAAATACATTATCAAGGCATAGGAAGGTCCCATTACAGTATGACTGTCAAAAGATGGCCAGCAAAACAAATACAAGATATCCATAAACCGAGGTTTGGGGAAGCTGTACAATAAGGTCCCAGAAGGTTATAGTTTTCTCTTGACATCCAGTTCTGTATAAAGAAAGGGGATAAAGTTTAGTAATGATCATGAATATGTATGAGTGGACTTGTACCTTGTACACCTCCTTGGAGAAGGGATCAAAGAGATCAGTCTGATAAAAGTAGCCTTGTAACACAAGCCCCATCCAGTTGGTGCACGTATCATGATATTTGGTGCCTGCACACATCCCAAGTGGGTGGAACTTGTGGCCCAAGAGCAGGATGCTGCTTCCATCATTTTGACAGAAACAGCAGGAGCCTGAGAATGCCCATGTTTATCACTTATATTGCCTCATCTTGGGGGGAAAATGAATTTTTCCTGACAAAAACAGAACATAATGTATTAAAATCACATTCCAAAGAGATAAAAATGATGATGCAGGTAAATCTACTTAATAAAAAGTACTGCTACCAACAACTTAACCATGATTAATACATCCAAAGTATTTGGCTTTCTTTTGTTTAATATGTCCATCACTCTGCTTCTGTAGTAGTCAAATTAGTTTCTTGATCCCAGCTGCATGAACAAGGATAGAAAACTAAGTGGAACTTTCTTCTTGCCTCACATGCAAGAGAGGTGGTGGACTAACATGGAAGAGTAGCAAAGAGACCAACTCTGGGTAGTCTTGTCAATCATTTTATAGCGAGGGCCCATCCAAAATACTGATGTTGCAGTGAGGAACACACAATTTGGTTAATTTTCTCCATGGAAAGGCTCTTTGGCATATCCTTAGGGCCTACCCCACTATGTTAAAGTGTTACCCACCCAACCTTGAGTTGGCAGTAAATCATAGTGGAAAAAAAATTGTTTCCCTCATGGTTGATTTGTATTCTGCCTCTATCATATCTGTTTTGAGTTAATACCAAACAGTGATATTCTGATGGTGCACATGCAGCAAGGAAAGCAATTAATTGATTCCTCCAGCTTTGTTGCCCTCCTTCTTCAGTACATCACCAACTGACAGGAAAAACATTCCCTAATCACACCATTGCAGCAGAACTGGGTAGGACTGTCTGCTGAGCACTGTCATCACTAAACTTCTTCCTCTAACCCTTCTTTTGGACTCCATTTTGTTGTAACCCAAGTTGAATAAAGTTTGAAATACACACACACACAAACATAGATGAGAGAGAGGGGAGAGAGAGAGATCAGAATCACAAAGCCAAGTCACAAACAGCATGTTTATCAGGAATTCTCTCCTCTTTCCTTTCCTTTCTTTATATAAAAGCAAATGTTGGTTTCCAGATTCATCTTTGTTCTGTTCAAGAAGCAATGGGGAGAGGGAGTGGAGAATTGGACCTATGATTTCAGTGTTTCACACCTCTCCCCCATGCACCCCTTTCACTGTTACACTATTTCCAGCTTCCAGCAGTACTTTTCAGTCATTCTTGTATCCAGCTGCTTAGGAGGCAACAGCGAAAGGGTAGTAGATGAGGGTAACCAGGAACTGGCAGGAGGGCCTTGCACAAATCAGCCTGAACTGGCCAATCAGTTTCTCTGAGTGCTCTGAAATAATGTTGGACAAACTGGGACACATTTTACATAATTTGCAGCTCTTACTGGATGCTCTCTGGTTAACAGGGAAAACACTATTTTAATGTTGATACAGACATGATGACTTAAGCCTGTCTCACACATGCATGGGAGATGATACGAAGGCAGTAAGGCTCTGCAAGCTTTGAAAATGTCTGTGGCATTCTCATTTATCAAACTCCCATGGCTTCTCCTCCCCTTTTATTCAATTCTCCCTCAATGGTACTCCTAGTGGCCTTAGCATGGGGACTCACCTGCTCCTTAACCTGGTTGTTTCATTGACCCTTAAGACCATCAAGAGATCAATGCCCACACAATTTTCTAATTTCCCATTAGCTGCAAATAACAGATTTTGAAATTTCAGAATGTGTACATAATATATAATATATAATATATAATACATAAAACACTCAATATGCCAGCAAATTTGAAAAACGCAACAGTGG